TGGACATTTTCTGAGATGTCAATGGAAAGGCGGTGCCTCTGGAACATCTGAAGGCCCTGGTGCTGCCCTATTTCCTTCTAAAATCCTCCCAGGCTTCATCTCCTCCAAAAGTTGATGTCCTCTTGCCAGGAGGAGATCAAGAGGGAAATTTTACAAGGATTTCTTCATTTGCTGTTTGGGACTCTCCCATTATAACCCACTTTCTGATGATGGCCCCTTCCCCTGTTTCCTACAATGTGCAGGTAAAGATTTATGCAATTTCAGGTGCCAGCCTCATTTGCGAGATTAATCAGAGATAATGTCTCACAAAGAGGTTTATTGAGTTCTCCGAGTTCATTCACCAGCTGTGAAGTGAAACATCCGAAAACAGTTGTTGAATACTAAGTTCTGCCTGGCACCAGCAGAGGAAAGGAAACAGTGCCTTTTATTCTGCTGGGCAGAGGCAGCTCCATGGGAGCAGCCCTGGAGCTGCCACGCTGGGGTTTGAGCTGCCTGCTGGCCTGGCCCACCTGGCTGCAGGAGGATGTGCCTGGCATGCTCAGGGTGCTGGGCTCCGCTTCTCAGCATCCTCAGCCCCATGAGTTGCTATTTCATGGCAGATCTGGAGAAGCAGGGGAGCCCTGGAGAGCAAGGCAAGGGTCATGACCCACCTACAGCCATGGAAAGGCACTAGGAAATGTATTCGTGGCTGCAGAACCCTGCAGGCCTCGTGGCTGCTGGCTTTATGGCACGGAATTGATTGGATGTCGTAGCAATATCTCCTCGAGGGCGGAGAAGGAAGGTCCTTCCTTGGACCTCAGTCTGCACCAGCCACCACTGGATGGGTTTTGTTCACCTGCTTTTTGGGACACTTGCTCCTTCCCTGTGCCCTACCCAGAAGCCAAGTTCTGGCTCATGCATCTGCACAGTGGGCTGCTCAGAGGGCACAGCCAGGCTGGCACCCCCAGCAGCACCCCCAGCACATCTCCTGGGCACAGCCAGGCTGGCACCAGCACCCCCAGCACATCTCCTGGGCACAGCCAGGCTGGCACCATCCCCAGCACATCTCCTGGGCACACAGGCACAGCCAGGCTGGCACCATCCCCAGCACATCTCCTGGGCACAGCCAGGCTGGCACCATCCCCAGCACATCTCCTGGGCACACAGGCACAGCCAGGCTGGTGCTGCTGGTTTTCCCCCTCGGTGCATGGCTCCACTGAACAGAGGGCACCCCTGCCTGGGCCAGAGGAAATGGGCTGCTATAACTGAACTGTCTTTATAAAATCCTCCCATCAGCAGTTGGGCAGGTGGCTGTGCAAAGGCCTCTTGAGTGCATCTCAGTATGCAGATGTCAGCCATGAGGAGATAATTATTCTGCTCTCCCACCTCCAGCACATTCCTACCTTGCCAATGGATCATTGTACTAATTTTTATCTCTGTTGCACTCAGCATAAAATGCCCATGATGAGTTTGTGTTTTCACACATTAGCTGGGAAGGGCCCATGTGGAAATCCACAGCTCTGAGGACAGATTTTGGCAGATGATTTATCCTTTCCATCAACATGCTCCAGCAAGTCCCCAGTGAGGCATGAGGGCTTTTCCTCTGGGATACACCAGTGGGGAGGACCTGGCATTGAGAGGAAAGGTGGATTTGTCTTTACAGACAAGCTGTGGGTCTGCTGGTAGATAAAACCAGCACTGGGAGAGAAAAGAAACAATGGGAAGGATTCCACTGACTGATGAATGGAAAAAGATAATTGCTTTTACAAAAAAACTTTACGTTTGCTGATAAATGAAATTAGACATTGGAAGATGAAAGAAAGAATGGGGAAGAAAACCCCCTGAATTCTGTAAGAATTAACAATTAAAAGGGAGGGTTATACATTAGAGGGGAATCTTTGCTATCAGGCGTTCTTGGGAGTCTGAACCTTTCAAGTACCTCAGAAATGGGGAAAGAGAGAAGGGAAATGTGGCTGGGAAATTGAGATTAAAAGGAGGCTGTGTCCTCCAAAAATCTGAGAGATCCCAGGGGATGCCCCATGGCCTCTCCCTTTATTGGAATAAAGTAAAAGGACTCCTCTGTTTCGTTTTTGGACATAAACCTCTGGTGTCTGTGGGTTAATTTTCCTAACAGCATCTTCATCACTTACTTATTTATTTACACTTTGACTTCCCTTCCTTGGAGGTGACTTTTCTGCTATCTGCAGGATTTTTCCTTTAAAATTGCCCTCCTGACAACATCCCAGCAACAGGACTGCTGCTTTCCCATGTCCTGATGAAGAGCTTGCAGACATTTGTTTGCAACTGCCTTTTGTTGTAACATCGGGAAGCACACAAAAAATCAGAGCACAGTACTTGCTCTTCCCTATGACTGGTCTTTGTCTTCAAGCAGCTGTAAAAGAGGGCAATCAATAAACCTTGCCAGGGTCTTTTTAATGCTTTTTGAGCCATTATGGTCATAATGCTTCTTCAGGCTGCCGTGTCAATAGACTCCAGACACTGAATATGTCAAAACCACATAAAATCTTTATTAAGATGAAATTAAATGAGCAAGCCCAAATCAGCAATTTAAATGGATATTGTTCTTCAAGGATGCCAGACCTAAAAACCAGACACAACTGAAGAATTCAGGGCATTCAGTTAGGATTGAATTGGTGTGAAACTCAAACTTTTGCCACAGCTCCTGGGCAGGAGGAATTTAGGAGAATTGCTGTCAAGGTGCTCTCGACACCTGCCCTATGTTTTCTATTGCAACATTGGCCTGAGCTAAAAAAGGGAAGCAAATCTGGGGCAGGAGGGAAGAAAACAGTTATTGCATGTAAGTTCAGTCTGTCTCTGCTCATCAAATTAACCCAGACTGATCCAAAGGAAAAAAAATCCTTATTTATGTATGGTTCCAGGTGACAGTGCATGGAGCTGCACCGGGTGGCACTGCAGAGAGTCCATCCTCATGCTGCATGGTCCTGGTGGGTGGATTTCTTCTCCCAGATCCTCACAAGCCCTTTTGGGCCCTGCAAAATCACCAGAAGCGTGCTCACATGGAGAATCTGCAGCAGAACCATGGGGCACTTTCAGCTCAGTGACTGAACCCTCCTCCAGCCTTGCACGGAGGCTGCAGCAGCAGAGATCTTCACCGGCCAAAAGGTGGTGAGGACAAGCAGGACATGTGAGAGCTGCCAGGACCTTGGCAAAGAAAAGCTACAAGCTGGAGCCCCTCTCAGCACCCCCCAGCACACAGGTGAGTGCAGCAGCAAAGGCTTGGGCTGCCATGGGCTGCATGTGAGCTCCAGGAGGGTACAAACCTGTGGGGCAGCCAGGGCAGCAATCAGGAACTGCAGGGCCACAGAGCTGGCTCTGGGCTCTTTCCACAGGCAGGGTCAGGCATGCAGCAGTCCAAGCCCTTTGCTGCCACTCTGCCCAAGTGGCACAGGGGGACAGGACCCAGCTGGGCTTGTCTGGGTTAGATGCATTCTAACAGCCTGCTTGGATTGCTTTGCTCCACTTGGGGCTCCTGCTTTGCAGTGCCACAATGCCTGGGACATGAGTGGGTTTGGCCCAGCCCTTTGCCACTGGCCAGCAGTGATATCAGCTCCCCTGTGCCTGTGCAGGACTGGCCAGTTTGCTGACCCTTGGGACCAGCCTGACGGAATGGTGCAGGGGCTCAGGTTTTGTATTTCCAGAGGGTGCCATGACTGATGCAAGCTACAGGGTGGACATGACTCCTCTAGAGGTTGTTACTTGGAAGGAGGAGTAGCCTCAGCACTGACCAGTGGGTTGGTGGTAGGTAGGACAGCACCAGCCTTGTCCCCAAAGCACCCCCAGCCTCCCCTGCCCAGGGCATGGCTGCCTTGGGCTGGTGGCCTGGTCCTAAGGGCAGCAAGGGACACCACCCCTGTGGGTTTTCCACTGGGATCCCTTCTGCAGTGTAATGGTGCAGCTTTTGCTTCATCAGGTGGGATCCTACAGCTTGCCAGGAGAATTTCACTGTTCACAAAGGAGCTCTTTTTCTCAGTGGAAAGCTGAAAAATTGCTCGGTTCCAGCCTATTTAGTTTTAATTGTTTCCTTTAGTTCTCATTGCCCACAGCAAAATATCACCTTCCTCTAACAACCAGCCAGGCTGGGAGCCAGCCACCCTGCCCAGCCACTGTGCCAGCCCTCCTGCTGGTTCTGTGGCTCCTGGGAGTCCTGTCCGTGCTGGCAGGGCTGGATTTGGGGAACAGGCATCACCCACAGCAGGCAGAGCAGCTGCAGTGCTGCCATTGCTGGATTTGGGGAACAGGCATCACCCACAGCAGGCAGAGCAGCTGCAGTGCTGCCATTGCTGGATTTGGGGAACAGGCATCACCCACAGCAGGCAGAGCAGCTGCAGTGCTGCCATTGCTGGATTTGGGGAAGAGGCATCACCCACAGCAGGCAGAGCAGCTGCAGTGCTGCCATTGCTGGATTTGGGGAAGAGGCATCACCCACAGCAGGCAGAGCAGCTGCAGTGCTGCCATTGCTGGATTTGGGGAACAGGCATCACCCACAGCAGGCAGAGCAGCTGCAGTGCTGCCATTGCTGGATTTGGGGAAGAGGCATCACCCACAGCAGGCAGAGCAGCTGCAGTGCTGCCATTGCTGGATTTGGGGAACAGGCATCACCCCGAGCAGGCAGAGCAGCTGCAGTGCTGCCATTGCTGGATTTGGGGAACAGGCATCACCCCGAGCAGGCAGAGCAGCTGCAGTGCTGCCATTGCTGGATTTGGGGAACAGGCATCACCCCGAGCAGGCAGAGCAGCTGCAGTGCTGCCATTGCTGGATTTGGGGAACAGGCATCACCCCGAGCAGGCAGAGCAGCTGCAGTGCTGCCATTGCTGGATTTGGGGAACAGGCATCACCCACAGCAGGCAGAGCAGCTGCAGTGCTGCCATTGCTGGATTTGGGGAAGAGGCATCACCCACAGCAGGCAGAGCAGCTGCAGTGCTGCCATTGCTGGATTTGGGGAACAGGCAGCACCCTGAGCAGGCAGAGCAGCTGCAGTGCTGCCATTGCTGGATTTGGGGAACAGGCAGCACCCTGAGCAGGCAGAGCAGCTGCAGTGCTGCCATTGCTGGGCTGTCTCCTTGCCCCAGGGACTCTGCTGGCTACCCTGGCTCTCTGCTTTCCCAGCCAGCTCAGCCCTCCCTGCTCCCCTCTGGCAGTTGCTGAGGAGGGGCCAGCTTGTCATTCCTGCTTCAAGGTGGCTCTGAAGAGAAAGGTGTTGCTGTGCTGCTGAGCCTTGGGGATGTTGACCAGCAGAAAATGGGAAAAGCCTCTTCTCTCTCCCTTCACCAGAGTGGGCTTCGAGCACCTGTGGCTTTTTGGGAATGATGTGGTGCATCCCAGGTGAGCATCACCTCCAGGACCTCTGCTGCAGCTCCTAATGCAGCCCTTCCACAGGGACACCCCACAAAGACAAAAGCCTCATGTCAGCAGTAGAAAGCAGGGTCTTGCAACCTCAAAAAAAAATTTGTGGGGACTCCTAAACCTTCTTGGCAGTTATGGGAGCAGGAGGATAAAGCAATATTCCCTTCCCATGCAGGCTGCCTTCAGGGAGAACAGCCAGACACCCCCAAGCAATCTCAGCAACAGCTCAGGCTCAAGGGAATATGAATGTATTCCAGGATAGGGCAAGGATGCAGGGCTAGCTGCAGGGGAGAAACAGAACAAAAATACACCCAACCCATCAGAGTAACCCATCACAGCACCGATTTTATCCCCTGATAAAAGATCTCTGCATCAGGGCTCAGTCTGGTGCCAGCACTGCCTCAGCTGGCACGTCCCAGCCTCCAGGGTTCACAGCACCATGCCAGAGGTTTCCCTGAAGGTTTTCCTCTGCTCAGCTCTGGGGAAGAACTATAAAACAAAGGCTCATAAATTAATTACCTAAAAGAGCAGCAGAATGTTATTAGATACTTGGGAGTTAATTGCACTGATGCTAATCACATGTATTTTAAAGGAACCAGCAGAGATGTAATATGTAATTCCACAGGTATTCCACAACAATTTAGCAATTTCATTAATTTCTGCTAATACCTTTTAAATCGCCTGCCCACTTCCTCTCATGTTTCCTGAGGGAAAGGGGGAAGGAACTTTTCCAATTGGCTGAATCTGTTGCAAACTCACTTTTGTTGGCAAAGACACTGTTTTATTTCTCAGTGGATTTAATTAACATTAGAGTTATCCCTGGGTGACAGGGTGGCCAAGCAAGACTGCAATTGCCTGGTCCTAAAATTGGAAGTCTGGATCAGGGATGGTTGAAGTGTTTTGGACAGATTGTGATGGGCTGAGAAGATGGAAACTGAAATGATTTGTGGATTTAGGTCAAACTCAGTAAGCAGAGCCAGGGGAAAATGTGGGAGAGAAATGTAAACAGCACCAGGCATTTTATTCCATCTCCTCAAAATGCAACATTTTGTTTAGAAAAAGCAAAAATATCCCATTTCAACGTGTTTGAGATGCAGGTTTTCTGCTTGTCTCCTTGTGCCTCCCCCAGGGTCAGGCAGCTGAGATGCCCCCAGCCCTGGGGCAGCACTGCAGCTGGAGAAATGATTCCTTTCCTTTCTGGGCCCACTGCTCAGTGAGCGCAGGGCACAGAACCTCGGGACGGCACCTGGGAGCGCAGGGGAGGTGGACAGAAGCAGAGACAAGTGATCTGGGCTGTGTGAGAGCTGAGCCCCACCCTCCCCATGCTGGCACAAAAGAGACCACCAGAAGCCATTGCTCTCATGGGGCTTTTATTGTTTGGCTGGCCCTCGCCTCCCACCCTGCTGCCCCTGGCTGAGCCCCTCAGCACCACCCACCTGCAGAGGAGACCCCAGCCCAGCTCATCCCCCAGCCCAGCCACCTGCCTGGGGCAGCACATTCTTCCCAGCTCTGTTCTGGGGTTTGGTTGGGTTTTTTGTTCGTTTGGTTGTTTTTTTTTCCTTTTTTAATATTTATTTTAAAAATATAGTAGCTGTGGAAAGCAGCCTTCTTTATAAATGCTTGCTGGCAGAGTGAAATGCACCCTCGCCATCCTTGTTCCACATCCCTCCTGGGTGCCCCTGCCTGCCAGCAGCAGTGCTGGGGCTGGGGAGGCTGCTCGGGCTGCTGCAGGCAGGGAGGCTCTCCATGGCAGGGAGAGAGAGAGAGAGAGGGACCCTTCTAAAAATAGAAATATTGTGCTGAGTCGTTTGGAGTGAATGAAATACATAAAACACCAGCATTAGATTAGCTCTAGCCCGTCAGATATTGCTCCTGGCAGAGTTGGTGCAGGGTGCTGGTGGAGGCTCAGCCCTCCTCAGCCCGGGCCAGGGCAGCCACGCCAGCCCCAGCCCCGCTCCCCACGGCAGGGCTCCCTGCTCACCACCTGGAGGACACTGCCCCCAGGGCAGCCTGAGAGCCCCCGGAGCCGGCATAAATAGGAAACTGTAAACACAACCATTGGAGATAAGAGACATCTACGATCACAGGGTTCACTGCTTGAAACGCCCCACCCTCCCCCCAGTCCGCACCCCTATGCCCTTGTCCCCACCCCGTAAAAAGGTCTCCAGTAACAAAATCTTCGATCCGGGCTTGGAGTAAAGGTGAGGTGCTCGGGGAGTAAAAAGGGACATTGCAACCTTAGCAGTCTTTGCTCGGGAGGGGAGATGGTGGCAGGAGGGAGAGAGAGGGTCAGCTGGTTCAGGTCCTTCGCAAGTCCATTTGGTTTGTCTGGAGGACTCCTAGGGTTGTACCTGAGATGAAGACGTCTAGAGGACCCTCCATAGCTCAATTGGAACGCTGTTGGTGTTCCTGTGCCCAGAAGAGCCCTCACTGCCGGGATTTGTCTGTCGTGCTTGCAGCGGGCAGCAGGAAAGCAGCGGCATCCCCCTTCCGCTCGGCACGGGGCCGTCTGAACCACCGCCGGCCCGGGGCACCCTCATGTGTCCAGGATCTCGCTGGTGGGCGACGGCTCGTGGGGGATGCCCTGTGCGCTGTGCAGGGTCTGGTTGTGCGAGAGGGAGTTCTGCTGGAGCTCCAGGGCGATGGCGTTCTGCGGGAACTCCTTCACCTGCCGCTTGTACTCCAGGAAGGTGCACGCCTTGGTGGCAATGGCGATGATGTTCTTGCCGATAAAGATGGTGGAGACCCTGCTGTCCTGGAACAAGATCATGTTGATGGCCCGGATGAAGATGGTGACGATGTTGATGGTGACCAGGCTGAGGACGGGGTAGAGCATCATTTTTTGCGGGGCAATGTGCTCCCCTTGCATGCTGATCTCACTGAGGGACACGCAAGGCAGGATCAGGAGGAGTATGTAGCAGTAGAAGAACATGAGCCCCTCTGCCCAGATGGGCAGGCCGGTCCTGTGTGGCTCCCACAGGTTGGCCTGGATGTCCAAGATATCCAGCAGGTCGAGGGCCACCCAGAAGAGGCGTCCCCGCAGGTCCTCTTTCTTCCGAAAGGTCCGTATGTACTCCATGCTGTCCAAGGCCACCAGCACCAGGTAGAGCCCCGGCACGCAGATGGAGAGCAGCAGGGTCAGAGCTTTCCTGGCCACCGTCTCCAGGTTCTTCTTGTCCGCTTTGTAATTCTGAAAGATGAAATACAGCTTGATCTCCAGCACGAAGATGTAGAGGAACCACAGGATCATGGCGTAGCCCCGCTTGGCCGTCTTCACCTCGGCGCCCACCCAGACGGCCACGTAGCGCAGCACGATGAGGAAGCAGATGTCCCCCACCAGCACGATGATGCAGACGCCGATCTTGCGGGGCCCCTGGTTCTGCTCCACCAGGTAGGCGTCCATGAAGGCCATGCTGGTCATGATGACGATGGTGGTGAGGCAGACGTGGCGCCGGTCGGGCGGCGGCAGCACCATGGCGAGGCGGGCGGCCCTGCGGCCCTCGGCGCTAGGGGAGCGCTCCCGCCGGCGCGGCGCGGGGGCGCATCCGCGGCCGGCCCAGGGGCCCAGCGCCGCCCTGTCCCCCGCCGCCGCCCCAGGGAGAGGCGCCTGCAGGAGCAGAGGCTCGGCTGGCAGCCCCACCGTCCCGGGGCTCGGGGCTGCCCCTGCAGCGCCCACGGCAGCCCTTCGCCCCTCAGGGGCCGTGCCCTGCAGGCACCGTGCCTCTGCCCCCAGCCCAGGGCTGGCTGAGCAGCCCAGCCCCAGGCACCCTCCGCCGCCAGCAGCCAGGGCTCACGGCTGTGCGGGGCCTCCTGGAGGAATGGCCCTCCTCGCTGGCGGGTCCCCCATCGCTGTCAGGCTCTCCAGCAGTCCTATGGCACTAAGACGCCTCCAGGCTCCAAATCCTGGTGTAGATCCCTGGAAACACGGCAGGTGACGGGGCAGAGGGGGAGCTCTCCCTGCTCCCAGTGAGATCCCACCTTCCTCCGGGCTCTGGGGGGCTCCTGCTGTGTCCTCACAGGCAATCACCTCTAGGCCTATCCCCGCAGGGCTGTGCTGGTGTCCTGCTGCTCCCAGCTGCACCCGCATCCCTCCATTCCTGCAAAAGACAGCAAAGAGCGAGCGTTAGGCTCCCTCTGAGAGCTGACCATGGATGGTGGCAGTGACAGCCCCACAGCTCCAACACACCACGGTGTGAGCCGGGCTCCCGCCAGGCGCCATCCCACCATGGGGCACCCACCACACCCCGGCCTGTGTGTGAGGGTGCAGAACAGCTTTTCACTGAGCACACACACAGCACAGGCTGTCCTGCAGGGATCGCAGCCTGCTGCCCTTCCACAGGCACTGCCTGTCCAGAACTCCTCAGCAAGCTCACACCCTCTGTGCTTCTGCTGTTCCAGCAGCACCAGCACAAAACCACACACCTGGTGGGGACCCACAGGTTCACAGCATTCCCAGCTCCAGGTATCCCTGCTCCAGCAGGGACACAGACCCACAAGTTACTGCACAGGTCCCAGCCTACACAGTTCTGCTTAACTACAGCCCTGGGATTCCACCAGTTCCTGAGCAGCTCTCAGGAATATAGTGGGGCACATCCCTCCTCGAGCAGGGTGAGGTCAGGGCTGGCACATGGGGGACAGGGAAAAGCTGTCCCCAGGCTGTCATGATGTCCCAGCTGCTTTCTGGACTGCTTCAGCTGCTTGTGGGCACAGCTCCTCCTCGTCATGCTGTGCTTGCCTTATTAATTTGTTAATCTTTTCTGTGCAGGGAATGCACTCCCAGAAATGAACAGGTAGGTCCCAGTGCATGCAAAAATGTCACCGAACTGCTCACGTGGAGACAGACCCTGATCACAGACACAGAGGCTGAAGGGAAGAAGCCAAGCTCAAGGAGGTGTAAGCCATTAAAAACCTGCCCTACTTTGCAGCTGCTTATGTTTATAGGGCCTCATTTAAATAAGAGCTGGATCCTTTCCTGCTTCAGGGAGACAAGAAGAACAAAGAAGAGAAAGTGGGAAGCCAGATGAGTCAGAGCCAGCCCTGCCTTGTGCTTGAGTAGGTGGACAGGAGGGATGCACGTACCTGTGCCCTGGTTTACAAAGGATGTGGTGCTCAGCAAACGTTAGCAAGGGACTTAAGGCTGCTGCTCCAGCCAGGACCCTCGGGATGCTCTTCTGAGTCTGCCAGCAAGGAAAACTGGCACGTTAAAATAATTTCTCAAGCAGGAATTGCTCAGAAAGAAACCGGAAAGATGTGGTGGGAATTCATGAGAAATGCTGCATGGTGCTTCCCAGGCAAGGCAGTCCCTGCAGCCCCACTTGCTAGCGTGGCTCTGCAACAACTCAGAGCTGCCGTTTGGGGCTTCAATTTGTTCTTTCTCGAGGTTTTGGATAAAAATATACGGTCACTGCTGCAACTGCCTCAAAACTCATGCCAAGTTTTACAGAGGATTTATAGCCAAGGATAGATAATTCCAGATAAATTAGCTCTTTCAGGAGGGAATGGTGGCTTTTTTTTTTTCTTTCACCCTGTAAGTATTTATGCCTTCAAAAGACAGCGGTTATTTAAAGGGCAGTGGGTTGCATCACAGCACAGCACGGTACAGAAGCAGCTTGCTTGTAAATCCTGCCCCCGTGCCCTGGAGTTCCTGGTGTGCTCTGGGGAGCTGGGGGAAGGCAGAGCTCTCTCCTCATGCCTACATGAAACCAGACAGGAAACCCTTTGGTGCCTCCTGGAGAACACCCAGGGCACCGAAAGGTGTTAATTCAGTGTTTACAGCAGAGGCCAACAGGTCTTTAACCACCGCTGCTGAGCAGATCGTTTGCAGCAAAGAAAACAGGCTCAGATGGCAGATCCTTCCCCGGTATCTGCTCCTGAAGGGCTCACGGCAGCCCGGGCTGGGTCTGACAAACATTTCTGGTGGTGCCCTTAGAGAGGGGAGGAAGGGACTGAGTCACAGGGCTCGGGGACTGCTTCCTCCCCGGTCACACCACGCACTGCCCAGCGTGAGCACCTCTCTTGCCTTTTCCGAATTGTTTCCAAGCACTTGCTGCAGTGCGAGCCCTTCTCCTGATTTCCCAGGAGCTGGTGATTTCCCCACCCCTCACTCCCTGGTGTCCTTTGCAGATCCATGGAGCAGAGCTCGCCAATGTGAGCGATGCCTGACCAGCCTGTCAGGAGGGGGCACATAAAACTCTCCTGGGAGGACTGTTAGACAAAAGCAGGTCGTTTTTAAACAACCATTACCTGGTAACCTCTAAATGACCACATTGGACAGTACATTCAGGAAACTGCCAGAGAACTGCGCTGAGTAAGCAAGACAATAACCACGTCAGACAGCCACAGAGCACATCTGAGGCAAATATTTGTTTAGACGAGTATTCACAAAACTTCCTTCCTGCAGGAATTCTTGTAAATAAAAGGCAGCCCACCTGAACGTAATGGGCTTGGAGTGCTATGGATGTCAGTGAGCCAGGCTGGCAGCTTCCTAGAGAAGGGATCTGACAGCTTTGGCATCTCTCTTGGTGCCAGGACACCCACAAGCAACGGGAATGCAGCAATGAAGCGATGCTTCAGTCTTGGCAACTACAGGCCTCCTTACCAGGACAAAATTCAATCCCTAATTGCTTCTTCTCCTCTACTTCTACCCTACTCCAACAGCCCCAATGCACTGGAGTGAGCAAATGACCTCAGTGACACTCAGTGTGTCACCAGCTGAGAAGGCAGAGCCCAAGGCCAGCATCCAGCGCCCCCAGGGAAGGGGAATGGGAGCAGCAGCCTGTCCTCTCTCCATCTCTGGGGTGTGCTTGGGGACACCCCATTTCCCAGCCCAGCTGCCCTGCAGGGTGGGAGAGGTTTCAGTGGGAAGGGCTGCTGGTTTCCTGGAGAGACTCAGGGGTCCTGCAGATGAGTCCAAAGCCGGCTGAAGGGCAAGGTTTGCACTCACCGCTGCCCTGCTTCCTCTGGCACCGAGGGACAGCAGCAGCATTGGTGCAGCCAGACCTTGCCCTATTCCCCTGACGCCTCTACTCTGACTCAGAAGTTATTTCTTGGTCTTGCACTTCTTTTTCCCGGCTCTCCCGGACGCTACAAAGCACTGGTGGTTACCCAAGGACGTGTGGTCACAGCCTTGCTCCAGCACCAGCCCAGGCAGTGCGGAAGAAAACCAAACTGTGCTTTTGCCTGCGATGCCGGTGGCTAATTGCGGTGATTAATTACCGCTGGCTCTGCCCTTTCAGGCCGCCCATCACCGAGCCCTCCTCTCCCGCCTCTGCCCAGCCCCTCCGGGCACAGCAGCCGGGAGCTGTGGGATGCAGGATGCGCACACAAAACCCCCAATCCCAGCCCGGGAGCCTCGGCTGCAGACAGCCTGCAGGGCTCCTGGAGCCCCTGCAAAAAAAAAATCGTCATTAACAGCACTTCCCAAAGCCCAGCTCTACCTGGCAAATTAATTTAAATTATTTATGTAATTTGGATCCTGTCTATTTTAAAAAAGGGAGTGAAACAGAAGTATACACAACGCGCTTCCCAGGTAATTAGGATGCCGCATTGCTTAAAGCTTCATTTGCACTTTAATTGCTTTGATTTATTCCACTTTTCCCGAGTGTAAATGCAAAGCTCCCCCTCACTTGGCCCTTCAGCCCTCTGGAGAGCTGCTGCTCCACCAGGGCCTTCTCCCACCTGGCAGCGTGGGCCGAGAGCAGGTGATGGGCACTAAAACCTCTGCTCAGGACTCCAGGGCAGCTGTGGCAGGGGCACCAAGCGATGGCACCGCTCCCTGGCAGCGGGCTGTGCCCCAGGGAACCGCAGCCAGGGCCCTGCTCTTGGCAGGGGCTGGGCACAGGGAGCTGCTGCTCATTGCTTCCACCATTTGTGACTCCCTGAACCAGCTGTGAGTGTGCACCACGCTGCTGCTCATTGCTTCCACCATTTGTGACTCCCTGAACCTCCTGTGAGTGTGCACCACGCTGCTGCTCATTGCTTCCACCATTTGTGACTCCCTGAACCTCCTGTGAGTGTGCACCACGCTGCTGCTCATTGCTTCCACCATTTGTGACTCCCTGAACCTCCTGTGAGTGTGCACCACGCTGCTGCTCATTGCTTCCACCATTTGTGACTCCCTGAACCTCCTGTGAGTGTGCACCACGCTGCTGCTCATTGCTTCCACCATTTGTGACTCCCTGAACCTCCTGTGACCGTGCACCACGCAAGGATGGCGCTTGCAGGCAGGGCAAGCTCTGTGTTGACTAAGATGAAACTCTAAACCAGCTTTTCCTCGAGCCTCTGCGGTTCAGCCTCACTGACCTGGAGCTGAGGTTCCACCTCGGCCACCCCGGGCAGTCCCTGGGGACCATCAGAGGCAGGCAGGGAGGCAGGGAAGGAGGATGCTGCTACCCTGGGGAACAGGGAATGTGGTATTGCACGAAATATTGCAAGGGAAGGTCGCTGTGGGCAGCGGCTGTGCCCCGCCTCCTCCAAGGCAGCACCGGGCTCTCCAGTACATCCTGTGAAGGAAATGAGA